CTCTTCATTGTTTCTGGAGTTATTTCTCTACTCTTCTCCAGTAGCATATTGGGCACCTACCAACCTGGGGAGTTCATCTTTCAGTGTCATATTTTTTGCCTTTTCATACTATTCATGGGGCTCTCAAGGCAAGAACACCGAAGTGGTTTGCCATTCCCTTCTCCAGTGGACCGCGTTTTGTCAAAACTCTCCACCATGACCAGGCCATCTTGGGTGGCCCTACATGGCATGGCTCAGTTTCACTGAGTTAGACAAGGCTGTGATCCATGTGACCAGTTTGGTTAGTTATCTGTGATTGTGGTTTTCATTCTGTCTGTCCTCTGAAAAAGAAGAGTAAGAGGCTTATGGAAGCTTCCTGATGGGAGAGACTGACTGTGGGAGGAACTGGGTCTTGTTCTGATGTCAGGGCTCTGCTCAGTAAATCTTTAATTCAATTTTCAGTTGATGGGTGGGGCTGTGTTATCTCCCTGTTGTTTGGCCTAAGGCCAAACTATGGTAGGGGTAATGACCATAATGGCAACCTCCTTCAAAAGGACTTATGCACTCACTGTTGTATTCAGTGCCCCTCACCCCACAGCAGGCTACTGTTGACCCATGCCTCTGCTGGAGGCTCCTGGACACTCACAGCCTAGTCTGGCTCAGCCTCCTGTAGGGACACAGCTCCTTTCTCCTGGCTCCTGGTGCACACAAGGTTTTGTTTGTGCCCTGTAAGAGTCTGTTTCCCCATTCCGGAAATCCCACTGGCCTCCAAAGTCAAATTCCCTGGGGTTTCTCAGTCTCTTTGCTGGATCCTCAGGTTGGGAAATCTGTTGTGGGTCCTAGAACTTTCTTTCTTAACAGTACAAGAATTTCTTTGGTATATTGTTCTGCAGTTTGTGGGTCATCTGCTCAGCAGCTCTATGGTAGGGCTAATAGCAACCTCTTCCAAGAGGGCTTGTGCCACACACTGCATGTCCCAGGTAGCTACACCCAGAGCCTCTGTTGCTGTGGCAGGCCACTGCTGACCCGTGCCTTCATAGGAGACACTCAGACACTCAAAGGCAGGTCTGGCTCAGTCTTTCTGGGGACTCTGGGTCCCAGTGTACACAAAGTTTTGTTTGAGCCCTCCGAGCATCTCTGGCAGGTATGGGGTTTGATTCTAAATGTGATTTCACCCCTCCTACCATCTTGTTGGGGCTTCTCCTTTGCCCTTGGAGGTGGGGTATCTTTTTTGGGGGGAGCTTTTTTTTGGTGGGACAGATAACAATCTGTCAATGATTGTTCAGCAGTGAGTTGAAATTTTTCAGTTCTCACTGGGGAAGATGAGTAAATGTCCTTCTATTCCATCATCTCGTTTTCAACAACACAAGAGATGACTCTACACATGGACATCATCAGATGGTCAACACTGAAATCAAACTGATTATATTCTTTGCAGCCAAAGATGGAGAAGCTCTAGACAGTCAGCAAAAATAAGACTGGGAACTGACTGTGGCTCAAATTATGAACTCCTTATTGTGAAATTCAGGCTTAAATTGAAGAAAGTAGGGAAAACCACTAGACCATTCAGGTATGACCTAAATCAAATTCCTTATGATTATATAGTGGAAGTGACAAATAGATTCAAGGGATTAGATCTGATAGACAGAGTGCCTGAAGAACTATGGATGGAGGTTCATGACACTATATAGGAGGTGATGATGAAGACCATCCCCAAGAAAAAGAAATGCAAAAAGGCAAAATGGTTGTCTGAGGAAGCCTTATAAATAGCTGAGAAAAGAAGAGAAGCAAAAGGCAAGGAAGAGAAGGAAAAGTATATCCATTTGAATGCAGAGTTCCAAAGAATAGCAAAGAGATAAGAAAACCTTCCTCAGTGATCAATGCAAAGAAATAGAGGAAAACAATAGAATGGGAAAGACTAGAGATCTCTTCAAGAAAATCAGAGATACCAAGGGAACATTTCATGCAAAGATGGGCACAATAAAGGACAGAAATGGTATGGACCTAACCGAAGCATAAGATATTAAGAAAAGGTGGCTAGAATACACAGAAGAACTATACAAAAAAAGATCTCCATGACCCAGATAACCATGAAGGTGCGATCACTCACCTAGAGTCAGACATCCTGGAATGTGAAGTCAAGAGGGCCTTAGGAAGCATCGCTATGAACAAAGCTAGTGGAGATGATGGGATTCCAGCTAAGCTATTTCAAATCCTAAAAGATGATGCTGTGAAAGTGCTGCACTCAATATGCCAGCAAATTTGGAAAACTCAGCAGTGGCCACAGGACTGAAAAAGGTCAGTTTTCATTCCAATCCCAAAGAAAGGCAATACCAAAGAATATTCAAACTACCACACAATTGCACTCATCTCACACACTAGCAAAGTAATTCTTAAAATTCTCCAAGCAAGGCTTTAACAGTATGTGAACCAAGAACTTCCAGATTTTGAAACTGGATTTAGAAAAGGCAGAGGAACCAGAGATCAAATTGCCAACATCCGTTGGATCATTGAAAAAGCAAGAGAGTTCCAGAAAAACATCTGCTTCTGCTTTATTCACTATACCAAAGTCTTTGTGTGGATCACAATAAACTATGGAAAATTCTTCAAGAGATGGGAATACCAGACCACCTGACCTGAGAAATCTATCTCCTGAGAAATCTGTATGCAGGTCAAGAAGCAACAGTTGGAACTGGACGTGAAACAATGGTTGCAAATTGGGAAATGAATATGTCAAGGCTGTATATTGTCACCTTGCTTATTTAATTTATATGCAGAGAACATCATGAGAAATGCTGGGCTGGATGAAGCACAAGCTAGAATCAAGATTGCTGGGAGAAATATCAATAACCTGAGATATGCAGATGACACCATCCTTATGGCACAAAGTGAAGAGGAACTAAAGAGCCTCTTGATGAAAGTGAAAGAGGAGAGTGAAAAAGTTGGCTCAAAACTCAACATGAAGAAAACTAAGATCATGGCATCTGGTTCCATCATTTCATGGCAAATAGATGGGGAAATAGTGGAAATAGTAACAAGCTTTATTTTCTTGAGCTCCAAAATCACTGCAGATGGTGAGTGCAGCTATGAAATTAAAAGACACTTGCTCCTTGGAAGAAAAGCTATGACCAACCTAGACAGCACATTAAAAAGCAAAGACATTACTTTGCCAACAAAGGTTGTCTAGTCAAAGCTATGGTTTTTCCAATAGTCATGAATGAATGTGAGAGTTCAACCATAAAGAAGGCTGAGTGCTGAAGAACTAATGCTTTGAACTGTGGTGTTGGGAGAAGACTCTTGAGAGTCCCTTGGACAGCAAGGAGATCCAGCCAATCAATCATAAAGGAAATCAGTCCTGAATATTCACTGAAAAGACTTATGGTAAAGATGAAGCTCCAATACTTTGGCCATCTAATGCAAAAAACTGACTCGTTGGAAAAGACCTTGATGCTGGGAAACATTGAAGGCAGGAGGCAAAGGGGACGACAGAGGATGATATGGTTGGATGGCATCACCAACTCAATGGACATGAGTTTGAGCAAGCTCTGGGAGTTGGTGATGGACAGGGAAGCCTGGTGCACTGCAGTCCATGGGGTTGCAAAGAGTTGGACAGAACTGAGCAACTGAACTGAAACTGAAGTCTGTACTGAGATACTTAGCAATTCACATAATGGCACTGAAGCTTTCTGCTTCCTTGAACTAAAATGTCAATTATTAGAACTAAAATCCAAGCTTATTTTCTTTCTATTATATATAGTCCCAGAAACTAACAAATACTTTAAACACAATTATCCAGAAGGTTTTTCTTTTAACAAATACATACAATTTGTACTTAAAGCATTATCATGTTTGCTTTTTTTCTTAAAATATCACATTTTTTAAAACCTATGTGGAAATTTTAAAAAATATCTTTAAATACTTAAAAATTTAGTAAGTTGGATGCATTTATCCATACTTATCCATCAGAACTAAGTTTTCTTCATTTCTAATAAATCTTCAGATATTGATTTCATGTGGTTATTTTTACACAGAATACATTCTGCATTGTGAAAGAGCTTAGTTCTTAGTATTGAGTCGGTGTGGACTTTTTAACATTTCTCTGCAAAATACAGAAGCTTCTTCCAGATATTTTTCACAAAACTAAAATGATAAAATTTTCCAGTGGTTAAAGACTGAGCCATGTTGATATGGGTCATAGCGGGATAGGATACATACAAAAGAAACCAATAAAATAGCAAGGTAATTTCTAGTAAAACACACCAAGAACTGAATATTCAAAGAAATACTACTCCCTACAAAATAGTCACTTTGGGAGGCTTATGGTGAAAACAGGCTTCCTTGGTGGCTCAGTCAGGAAAGAATCTGCTTGCAATGCAGAAGACTGCCTACAACAGAGTAGACCCAGGTTCGATCCCTTGGTCAGGAAGATGCCCTGGAGAAGGAAATGGTAATCCACTCCAGTATTCTTGCCTGGAAAATACCATGGACAGAGGAGCCTGGCGGGCTGCAGTCCATGGGGTTGCAAGAGTAGAACACAACTTAGCAACTAAACCAGCACCACCATGATGGAAACATTGCTTGCACTCTTCTTTTAAGGAAATCTAGTACTTTATGTCTTCATATGATACATGCATATATGCATGCACACACAGTTCCCAAATGACTCTACCCAACTTGACCAGCGACACACCATATTGTCAGAAACATTCTATAGTTTTCATTATTTTCTGATAAACATGTTTGGTATGAATTCAATTACAAGTGAGAAAGTAAAGACTAACACATAAATTTAAATAAAACAAATGGATTATTTTCCTTATCAAGGTCCTTTTACTTTAAGAGATTCAATGCTATACATCCTAACTTCGTATTTTCAGAGCGCTTTCATTGTGTTCTCCCTTGAACATTGACTTAACTTTTAATTAGAGAGCATCTGCAATCGCAGGAAACATAGACCTACAAATCAATTTATCATGGTGGTTAAAGGAAAATAAAAATGCAAAAGCATCTGCATGTCTCACCTCCCATCAAACCTGTGCTTCAGGAAATCAAAGAGGGCTTTCTGCATCATGTCTGTGACCTTTGCAGAGGTGAGAAAAAAACAATGAGGCAAACAACAGCAGAGAGAGATAAATCAAAAGTGAGAGAGCTGCAAGAGAAGGGCACTCCAACCAAACAAAGACCTTATCACAGCTATTTGTCTGCTGGGGGCAGGACAGGGCAAACAACCATGAACGGAGTTTTTCACTTAACCTACTTGCACTTACTCAGTTTCCCCCATTGGTTCTCCTCCAGGGTGCTGAGGGGTGAACCAGCGGTGTTCACTAGGCCCAAGACAGACTCTCATCTCTTTTTTAGGGGATAGAACGGCCACCAGGAGACCGATAAGCTGGCTCTGTGCACAGGTACGGCCTGTCCGTGGCATACCCGAGTGGTGCGTGCCTGCAGTGAGGAGCAGCTAGAGCTCCTTGCGCTAGCCCCAGGCCCGGCCTCCTGCTAGTCTGTGCAAGTTGGTGGACATTCTCCACGTCCAGGCTGGACTTCTGTAGACCCCTCTCTGCTCTTCCTCAGACCGTCCCCATTGAGAGGCGGAGGGAGGGGAGGGAATGAAAGGGGACGTGGGAGAAGGAGATGGGGCTCTTAAACCTGCGTCAAAGAGCTTCATTAATTCACTCAACAAATGTGCACTGAAAGCTGACTATGTGCCAGATGTTGTGCTGATTCAGTGGGAAGGGTGCCATGGAGGTGGCCCACCTTCAGATAATGTCCTACCCATTTATTCTTGTCCATGCTGGCATAAAGTCAAAATGGCATCATCTGAAATGCAGGACATCTAAGTGTTTGCTCTCTTCTTCCTTACATTGCTTAGTTCATCTCTGAAGGCGTTCATTGATATTTTTAATGGAGTTTTTTCCCTTTTTTACATCCTTTAAAATAAAGAAGCAGGGAAATGTTTGGTGGAATATGCCATCGTCTTGAGCACCCAGCAAAGTGAGACCGGTTGGTGCTCTGAGGTGAGGTTTGCTGGCAGATTGCTTTTATGTTCCCCTGTGCCGTTCATTCGTTATTTTTTCTAACGGCAACAGGAACCGTCGAGACAGATAAAATCCTTTTCTTTGAATTGAGAGCAGAGCAAACCTTTGACCAGAACTTCCCATTATAACTATTTTGAGGGAGCTATTTCTAAACACTGTAATACATGAAAGATGAGAAGAGGGCCAGAGAGGGAGGAAGTAGCAACGGACCACACGAACCCCACAAAGCACCTCCGTCTTCACAAGCTGAGGGCCCGAGTGTAAGCAGACCCCAGGGAGGAAGCTCCCAGTGGCTGGCTCCTAGGTTCTTGATCAAGAACTGAAGGGTAACAGACTGATATCGGTACCTCATAGCCCTTCAGCGATGGCCCCACCAGCACCACCGGACGCATGGATGGCACAACGTCGTAGGGAGGGATGTGCTCCGTCTGAAAGAGACGATTGGACACACATAACAAGGTGTGAGGGTCAGCAGCCCTGCTCCACAGCCACAACATTCACAATCCTCCGGCCAAATGAGAAATGATAACCACGGGTCCCACCAAGGAGACATGCCTCATTTTATAGGCATTTGGGTCACTGAAATGGAGCACTGCAGGCATTTATGGATAGAAACCTTCACAGGACATTTAAAAAGGAAACATGACTTACCACTTTTTGCTTCTGTTTTGCTAAAAGACAACAATGAGAGCCATATCAAAATATGTAATCTCTGTCATTGTCAGCACACGATTTTAAAAGATGGAAGAATATGCCAATTTGTCCCTGTCATTCTCGTCATTTCCCAATCACCCACTCTGCAGAGTATTACTCTACTATTTCATTCTGGTCGGGCCAATTGGGAAGACAAATGCAAAAACAGACAACTTCCTCCCGGAACAGATGACCTCATACCCTGATTTCACAATGGGTGGGGAGGGTGGATTGCATAACATTGGCTGGGCCAGCCACAGGCCATGGGCTGTTCCCGTGCTGGACACAGCATGTAGTGTGGCTGAGAGCAACTTGGACAAATCAAATTTGATAAAAAAGAGACTTAGAACAATAATTTGTATAATAATGACCATCACTGCACTCACTAGTTATTTTTGGATGTGTAATTTTGGTAAACTAGCAGAAGAATTTGCAGTTCTTTTTGTGTCCTTAAGGCTTTCTGCTCACTTTCCAGAACACGGACATATTTTTCCTACTGCATTGCTTTTCATTTCAAGTAAGTTTATAATCAGTTGTTCCTGTTCTTTTCCTGTGTGTAATAGTGAACAGCTGCAATGATTTAAATGTACAGCAAATAGGGATGAGGCAAAATATACTCAATATCTGTGGCTTTGTGGCCACCCATGCAGTCCTGTCCATTTGGGGAAACCTAAAGAACAGGACTTTGGTTCAGAGCCCTGGAGATCAGGGTTCACATACAAGGACTCAGATACTCAGATCTGTTCTGGAACCAACCCAGTTTCCTGTAGTTATGGTATGCCAGGATAGATATTGGATCTGTCATTCTGAATTGATAATCCTAGATACATTAATGCAGCATCCATTCTGGGACAGAACAAAATGAGCCTGTAGAGCCAGGGAATGTGGTGGAAGAAAAATTCTTGCTTGAATACCTCCACAATTTCTAATTGCACAACAACTCCTATTGGGCCACATCACTGTCCCTTCATTACCATTAAATTCAGGGTTCAGTTGTCTGCTACTCAAACAGAAATGAGCCCATTTGGGCCAAACTTCATTCTTTGCTTCAGCCCTCCCCACCTCCACACTCAGGCTGTACCAACACTCCCTGAAGTTTCACATGAAGACTGAAACTCAGCATTTTCTTTAGAATGCTTATAAAACTCATATAATTGGCCCTCACCATCTTAAAGTGTGCTGGGTTCTCGGGTGGAATAGTGAACTTGCTTCTGAATGATTTATACAATAGAGGGCAAATAAGATTGTACAAAATCATGAGCCATATCAAAACATGTAATCTCTGTCATTGTTACAATGATCTGAACTTCTAGTAACACAAGTACCCTTTAAATCAAATTAAATTACTAGAGAAAAGCAAATAAGCAATGAAATATTAAGTAAAAAAATCTTTAAACTGCTTCCAAATTAGTAAAAAAAAAATTTGCATGTATTTTCAAAGATTAAGAAAGAAATACATTCCATTAAAAAAAAGAAAGTCTAACTAAAACCCTCACCTGTTGATGTGGGAGTTGCTCGAAATGTCCCTGATACCATTTCTCCGAGACTTGAAGAAGAATTTCCACTGGATTTCCTAAGATACAGAAAAGGAAGTTAGGACTCATTCCCCAGATTCCTTGAAAATAGAACTTGAGAGTACAAAACTTTCTTTGGCCTTAATCCTACTAAATAATTCAAAACACACCAAGTCCTGCTCTTAGAGTAGAGCTTCAAGGATCTGTCCAAATGTTTTCTTTGACTTCCTTTCTCAGAGAAAGTGGGAAACTAACTAGGATCTGGAAATGCTTTGCGAAAGTCTGTTTCCTAATTATTCAATGCAGAAATAAGGCAAACGAATCACTAATAGGAGTGTTCTTGTGAACCGTCTGCTTAACTGACACTGACCACCAGTGCACTGTTGGATGTCAAACATAGCTCAGAATGAGCAGAAGAGTAGTCACTATTATAGGAACCAAGGATACAACAGTGAGGGGAAACAAAATTCTTTCCCTTATACAGACAAATTCTAGTGGTGTCAGTATCAATCAGATGAACAGGTTAAAATGTAGTATTTTTGATAGTAGTAAGTGCAACAAAGAAAACTGAAGGGGAGAGAAATAAGAAGCAAGGGGAGAGAAGTGGATTCAACTTTAGATATGGTGGCAGGAACTGGATCATTGAAAAGATGATATTTAACACAGATCTGAAGCAGATGAAGGAGTGATCCAGTGGGAAAGTGAAGGAAAGGGTCTGGTAAGAAAAAACAGCAATTGCAAAGGAACATAGGTTTTCACATGGAGCAGCAAGAGAGACAAAAAGTCTACAGAGTAATAAGAGGGACGAATCATTAATAATATTACAGGCATGTTATATCCTAACAAAGGTCGATAATTAAAAGTGGGGCTCACACTGTACTACTGTGATCTCCTATCACTGTTTAAGAACTTCCCATTACGACAAAGGCAAAAGGGCTCCTGAAGAACAGAGGTGTTTTTTGTTTTGTTTTGTTTTCTCCATTTATTTTTATTAGTTGGAGGCTAATTACTTTACAATATTGTAGTGGTTTTTGCCATACATTGACATGAATCAGCCATGGATTTACATGTGTTCCCCACCCTGATCCCCCCTCCAACCTCCCTCCCCATCCCATCCCTCTGGATCCAGAGGCGTTTTTGAAACAGAAAAGGATCTAATAGCAAAAGGAGATTGAGAGTTAAGAGAAAGAACTAATTCTATTTTAGGACTTTCAAAAAACAGTAACACACATCAAATCAGTGCTTCAGTGTAGGCTCACAATATATGCAGGTTTAGTATGATGCTGGTTTGTCCTCTCAGGCTTTGCTTGTATTGCTGGGACCTTTAAACACCTGTATTCTGATCTTTGTGGACACTTCATTGTTCACTAGAGGTTAATTCATCTGAAGCTGGACAGAGTCTTCCCTTTATTACCAAGCAGTGGCCACAGAAAACCCTGGAGAAGCTGCTACTAGTCCTGGGATGGTATTGCATGTACCATGGCTTTCTGTGCTCACTTGAAAGAGAGTCCCTGAAAGATAACCAAGAAGAGCTACGATGCCAGGTCAGGCCAGGCCCCCACTTACGGTACTGTTAAAGGATGCCATACACAACTCTCACAGAGGGAAGCTCAGGTTCCCAAGAGGGTTTGTTGAGGTCACAGAAAACAGTCTCCACTGTGGAATTCATGTTGATTCCAGGAGTCTCAGGCTTCATTCAGTACACAACAGGGGGCATGAACTGCATGAAACCCCCTTGTGTCAATTTTGGAAACACCTTGCGCATAGAAAAATAGCTTTTACTTCAAAAGCATACGTGTTTAACTTAATAAGGAAACTTGAAAACATCACCTAATTTCCCTACTCCCTCCAAATAAAATGTGGAGAAAAGGAGCCTTACCCTCCGTGAAAACGTCCTCTTTTCTGTTCTTGCTGAATCCGTATGTTCTCCAATCTCAGCGGACTTGGGATGAAGCCAATCTCACAGCCTTCTTTCACCAGCCTTCCTATCCACCAATCATTGTTATATTTCTGGAACACAGAAATAAAGATGCTATCAATTCACTTATCTTCACATTTATTCATTTCAGGGGGCCTAAAGACTGAAGCACTATGTTATATAATATTATACTGTACCATATTATATATACAAACACTATTTATAGTATATTATACCATATTATATATATATATCTGGGAGGTGTCCAAAGAATAAAGCAAACTTTCTAGTCCAAAAGCCAAGATAATTAATACTTCAGGGTCTGCAGGCCATATGGTCTCTGATGCAACCTCTGTAATCTTCTGTTGTAGTGTGGAAGCAGCCACAGACAATATGTAAACACATAAGCACGTCTGTGCTTCAATAAACCTTTTCTTTCTGAAAGACAGCAGGCTGGTTTCAGCCCATGGGACACAGTTTGCTAATCCCTGGGCTAAAGTCAGGTCTTAAGGTTTGGATTCCTTTGGTGCTTGTCAAGAAGCCCTCGCCACATCTTTGGGAATAGATTTTATAAGAATAAATATGCACCACTGTAATTAGAACTCTGGAAGACAAGAGAGACAAGTCTAAGATGAAATACACTGAACAGTCTGTTATTTATCAAAAGCTTTGAGGTAAAAATTCCACCATACTATCTGTATTTTACTCTCTCTGGGGAAAAACAATATAATCTTCCAAATACAGATTTGCAAATCAAGGTCCATCTTATTACCCGAAGAAAAACAAGCCTACTCTCACAAAGACTAAGCATATTTTACATAAGTGAAATTTTTGAAGTAATCTCCAAGTGACCTGAAATCCAATAGGAACGAAGGAATTTCCATTTAAATAAAATCCAAGACACGTAACCTTGGGAAACAAACACACACAAAGGCTTCAGTCAATATGCGGTGAACATGGTCCCATTTGATGGACCAGCAAAACTGCATTTGTAATGACAGGTTTGCTGAATTTTCTGACTTTTTAAAAAATGCACAATACGACAGCTGCAAGTTAAGTTTTATTTGGGGCAAAATGAGGACTATAGCCCAGGAGACGGCATTTCAGGTAGTTCTAAGAAACTGCTCCAAGAGGCAGTGGAGGAAGGTCAGAAGGAGTACATTCAATCAAGCACAAACAGAAGCTTTCTGCTAGTCATAAGGAGCAGTCATCATTAAGAAGGAATTTAGTGCTTTTCTAAATATGAGGAGATATAAGAATTGGGCTCATAAAATTGGCTGCTGAAAAATACCTAACTATCTGAAGACCAGTTATGCCAGTTTTTCCCAGAGCACCAAGCGCCTCATTTCTGCTCTCCACTTTCAGAGGGTGTTGAAAGTCAGCAGCTGCAGCAGCACATGATTTAATCCTTATAGAGGCAGATGGCAAGTGCCCATGTTGTTGTTGTTGAGTCGCTAAGTCGAGTCCGACTCTTTTGGGCTTCCCTGGTGGGTCAGTCAGTAAAGTACCCATGGCAAGTGCCAGTTTGTAGTTGACAAATCCTAGGGCAGAAGGCGTGTTTAATCCAAGCTACCTTTCTCAAGGGAAGGTTTCAGCTAGGTGATTTCCACAAAACAGACATTAGTCCTACTGTTTACATCCTCCAGAGATAACTCCGAAAACTTCCTTTATTGTCTTTATTAGTGTCGGACAAGGTAGCTCTCTCTCTTTGATCCAGGAACCATCTCATTTTTTCAAAGCGTAACTCTGTATGGTATATTTTGCTTAGCTCACAGGACAGTAGAATTTATATGTATATGACATTGACACGCTGAGAAGGAGAAGTGGATATTTCCATTGAATCATCAAAGCACGAAATTCCGGGTGACTCTGAGTAATTCTGAGTAACAGTTTTATACTCAAAAGCAAAAAGATATGAGTTAGAGATGTGGCCTTTGTTTTGCACGGAGCTCCTACACAAAGCACAACGTGCCATGCCGTCTGAGCCTGCACTGAAATGTGAGTCAACCTAATATAAAATCTTGAACAGTCTCGGTCTCAACTTCTCCCATCTTTCCATCTTTTATTTCAGGATAACACTCCTGAAATAAATGGGACCCCTTTAGAATGTTTGGGGCATGGATTTGGAATTTAAATTTTACTGTGGTGGGGACAAAACAGACAGTGAGTCATAGTTTCCCACAGCTTAAGTTACTTCCTGAAATCAGATTAGCCCACCAGAACACTAACTTACTAACTGCTACCCAAATAATCTTAAAGGGGTTCCTGAAATAGTTGATGTAACTTCCCAAGATGTTCTACTTTCTTCTAGGAAACAGCTAAAGCACAGAGAAGATCTGACTCAATGAAAGTTCTTTGAGTCACTTGGGGAAAGTTACATTGTACATTCAAGGGCTTTAAATCACTGGTCATTCGGTGTATGTGATAAGGACAGCTGTAGCTTTTCTCTGCTTTTAAGCTTTTCATTACTGAGAAAGTAATGAAAATAGAGCATACCAAATGGCCTTCTAGGTTATGGATGAGAGGAAAGGCTACAACTCAATTATAGAAATATGTTCACTTGTGTTGACATTCTGGGAGTACATGCCAGCTCCCTGGCAAGGTCACCTTAGTGATATTCCAATTCTTCTCATTTTGCTTTCCTGAAAATGATGAGCACTTTCTCTTCCTAATGTGTTTCCTTATCTGAGATCTCAAAATCTGAAAACAAGTGGCTCTAATCCATATAGGATTACCAGTTCAACATCATACATCAAACTACCAGGCAAGGGAAAGTCACTGGTCGAGGAGGATATAGATCAAAAAAGCAACCAACAGGACAAATGGAGACGATTGATGGAATGGAGGAAAGCAATAAAATGCATCAAGGTGGGGATGCAGGTGTGAGTACTGTGCATGGAATATCTGAGGACTTCTTTTATTGTTTCAAGTGCTGCTTCTCCTTGGAAACAATGGGAATGAGCAACTAATGAATATGGTTTGGTCGTTTTTGATGAGAATGGTGACACAAAGTCACCCTAACCTTTCAGGTGCTAGGGCACATGTTTCAGGTTGAGAGTCCTTGTCTTTCAGGCAAATATGAATATCCCCCTGTCATACATGATCTAGAAAGCAGAAGAGGTCAACCTGATGCTTCCTCAGTTTCTCATAACCAAAGCTGTGAGTACCTAAACTCATCTTTTCCCTATCTGTTATAATGAGTAAGTGTTCCCCTTCCTATCAAAGGTCTGCCTCATCACTTGGGGTCTGAATCCCAGGCTCCCTGACTACTAAATCTTCCCACATTTTCCATCAATCTCTCTTCTTTTCTCTCTGTTAACAGGCATGGACACATGCTCTGATAGCTCCCATCTTGAAAGAAAACCTCTTTTGACTTCATACCCTCTTCAGTCTACTGCCTGATCAGTGTCATTTCCCTTGGATGCATGGTCTATGCTTGCTAAATATACTTCCTAACTCCCCTTCTCTCCTCATCACACTGCATCCAGCTTTCATCTCCCCAACTCCAGACAATCATCGCAGTGACCTCCACGCTGCTGACCACCGTGTGCCAACCCAATGTCCATTCCTTTCTCCTCACCTTAGGTGACATGTCACAACATTGGCTGCAGCTGGTTGCTTCCTCCTTTTGAACACACTCTTCTCTGTTGATGTCCATGAATTGCTCTGTCCTAGTTCTCCTCCCATATCTCAGGCTTCTCCTTTTCAGTTTCCTTATTTGCTGAGTCTTTTCATGCACCCCACCTTTGCAGGATGGAATTCCTTTGGATTTGATCCAGGGCTGCCTTCTCTCCTCCTTCTCCTCTGTCTTTAGATGACTTCATTCATTACCACAGCTTTACATGCCACCTGGATAAACTAATGATCCAAATGTGTATCTTTGGCCCCACCCCTTCCTTTGAGCTCCAAATTCTCACATCTAACTTCCTACTTCATTTTTCCTTTGAGATGTCCACTCAAATTCCCTTCCCACCTGTCCTCACCCCACCCTAGTCATATCAATCCTAGATGCTCAATTCATAAACCTTGATTTCCTTGATCATCTTTGATGTCTCCCTCAATCTTAGCTCCTCCACAAGGTCCATCACCAGCACTCTTCATTGAATTCCCACAATATACCTCAAATGTGGAGACAAATAGTTTTCTCCATCTCAGTAGCACCAGGATGGCTCAATCCCATTATCCCTCATCTAGAATGGCTCTAACGGTCTCCCTGATTCCAGACTTCTCCCACTCCAATCCACTGTCTCTCCAACAGCTAGTTTTATTTTAAATGTGTGATAATGCAAGCAACAATCTCAGTCTTCTAAATCTCGATGAGGAGGGATGGATTTGTAAGCCTTTCCAATTAAATGAGGCAAAACACTGGCAGCTCCTCAGGGCTCCTCTCCATTTAGTTTGGCTCAGAGCTGATTCCTGGTCTTGATTGTGCTGCAGGTTAAGGAAAGCAACAAGCCCTACATTTACCTCTTTTATGTGTAGAAAGTCCTTCGCGTCAAAGGAGATGGCCGTGCTTGGAACAGGCACATCCTCGTCCAAGGCACCACAGTAGCTCACATTTGTCTTCACAGCAAACGCTACGGGTTTGGACTGGGAACAGAACCATGGAAGAAGGATGAAGGGAGGAAGATGAGGAGGGTTTTTCTCACTGAAATGTAGAATCAGATCACGGAGAGTACCACGCAGTAAGAAAAATCACTTTCCAAGGAGGGATCTCAACTGGATTTCGCATGTCCAGCCAGCACTAAGAAATCTGCAGAAAGAACTCTGAAAAGGATTCCGTCCTATTCACCCAACCGTGTACCCCCTCCTGTCATACTTTCCAACATCCCAGAGAATTGTGCCCCAGAGTCTTGGGGAGGGAAGGCAGAAGGGGCAGTCTGCTTTGTCCTTTAGTCATAAAACTTAAGTTTGTTATTTTATTTTCTGACGTATAAGAGTCCTTTGACTCTTTTTACCTCTCTTTGGCTGCACCCTGAGGCCTGAGGGATCCCAGCTCCTCAACCAGGGATTGAACCTGGACCCTCAGCAGTGACAGGATGGAGTCCTGACTCCTGGACCGCCAAGGAATTCCCATGTTTATTATTGTAAATGATAACAGATGCCCACATCTTGGGGTACAGGAAATGTATGCTGGGTCTTAAAGAAAAAAGAGGTGGAGGGGTAAAATAAATATTGTTGAAATAGCCTCAGATCTGAAAACCTGCAGGATCCCACTCAACAGAATATCTTGTCCTGGCAGGGTAAAGAAAGGCCGGCCCGGCTGGGGCAGACAGGCAGGGTGGAGCTGTTCATACATCATGTCACCTTCTCCCTAGCTAACAAAACTGCTTCTGAAACTCTTTTTAGACAAATTCCCCTGCAGCAGAGTGCTCCTGGGCGGCTGCAGCTTGGCAGAAGCTCAGCCAACCTCCAGCTTCAGCTGACAGCACCATTGCTGACATTTGGGTGACCACAGCAGCCACAGAATAGACCCTGAGAGAAAACTAAAACAGAAATTAGCCACAAGAGAACACACCAGGTTTCTGCAATCCTGGGCTGCTCTATTCTAGAGGTGCTTAGTCGCTCAGTCACCCATGAACCCATGGACTGCAGCCCACCAGGCTCCTCTGTCCATGGAATTCTCCAGGCAAGAATACTGGAGTGGGTTGCAGTTTCCAGCTCCAGAGATTGAGCTTGGGTCTTCTGCACTGGCAGGCGAATTCTGTACAACTAGCAGGCTGCTCTGCTATGGGCTCATTTCTTCATGCTGGGAACACGCCTGGGGAGCAAGAGGGTTGAGGCAGGACCTGGATTAGGGTCCCACTGATACCTCACTGCCTCCAACCCCCTTCCACCACCTGGCACAGATATCACGGGTGTCAAAGCAAAGGAAGACACTTCCTGAGCCTGCCTCATTCTCCTCTTCCCCCTCTTTTAAATATTTTACTGTCAAAATAGAAAAGGGAAGGAGTTCACTTTATTTGAGCTTCCATTTTTTTTTTCCTCCTAAAACTTGGAAAGACTGGATCAATATGCCTTAGGAGTCTATCATGAAGGGCAAAGAGGAGAGGCTGACCAGGAATCTGTTATGTCCATTACTGTGAATAAAATTTCATTTCAAAAAAGGGGTCTGTGCTTTTTCAAAAAAAAGTCTGAAAGACATGGCATGGGAGATCGCTAGTGACTCGTTCAGTTCTAACATTCAAAAATGCAATTTGTTCTTTGTTGCCTCCTATGGGGTCTTCTTCCTCTGGAATATCGGAAGGTCTCTTTTAGGAAAGCCTTTCATTGCTCAATTTTACTGAAATGCTAATCATTGTTCAAAGTTCTGAACAGGGAAGGAACTTGAGGTGGGAGACTGAAACCAGGAGGGAAGGATAGAGACATCAACAGTGCATAGACCAGCTGTGCGCCTGCGGCCAGTAATGAAGGCTGCTGTCATGGAGAATGGGGTGGGCAAGCTGGTCCCTTGAGTGGCCAACACCCGGAGGGGCAAGCTGGGTATGGTCCTCAATCACTAAGATCGAAGATGACCAAGAGTTTTCACCACTCAACCAAACGCAAAAGGAAACTGAAGGGGTCCAGGTCTCAGGATACCACTCCCTGAGAACGTTACTATCAGGGGTGAACAGATGAGGGCCTGGCAATCTGGTGCCTTATCAGGACAATCATGAAATGATTATTCCAGAGAAATCTGAGGCAGGGGAAGAGCAGCTGATACCTGCTGAGCAACATGCCACTTTGGAACCCAAGAGGGGCAAGAATGTCACCTTTGCTCTCTCAAGCTGGATGGCCGCCTGCTGCTCCCTCTCCTGCCGAATTGCTTCCCGATCCTCTTCCAAAGAGACATCGGAGTCAGACGGCCTGCTTGTGTAGGAGTCCGCTGAACCCTGGAAAGGAAAACCCGGAGTAGCTTGAATGAGGTGATGAGGGGCGTCTTACATCCTCAGTTCCACAATGTCCTCCTGGAATGAGTTCTTCTCATTTGCGATGCATATGCTCCCTTATTGCATAAATGTAGATGGCAGAATACAGTTAAGCATCTGAGTAATTCGGAAGGTAGCAATGTTGTGAAGGGAAATATTTTGACTGGATTAAGTGCTAGAAAGTAAACTGCAATGAAAATTATATGATATCCAGCCCCAATTCTTCTGGTTCTGTACTATCTTTATATTAAGCCCATATGACTTGTGGAACTGAAGTTTCATTCCATTCTTTCCTTTACATATAGGTTTAAACGAAAAAGAGACTCAGCCTATCGCAAGAGCTAAATCCTGCCCATATCTTAATTACAGATGATCAATTTGTCTAAGATTTCAACACAATAAAGCAGAAACCTGCATTAGTAAAATGACTTTCCAGTTCCAACATCAACACTATTGAGTAAGGATGTCCTCGAAGCCCATGCCTAGAAGAGCTGTTTGAACAATGATGAAATCCAGTCTGATTCATATGGTCAAGGAACTGGGGGCATCAAACATCACTTAGTGCTCATACCATAAGAGGCAATGAAAACCACAGCAGCTAAAAAGCTAAAAACAAAAACAAACACACCAGAAGTTTGCCTTCTGCTTGCTAAAAGAACACCATCCTTACAATCTCCTTAAGCTGGCATGAGAAGTTGGTATTTGTGTAGATGATGACATTTACACAGAGGAGGTATTGACAGGACTGGTGTATTTGGCATGTTTCACAAACCAGGCACAGAATTTGGAAGCATATACCTATCCATATAGCTGAGAATTTGCTACCCACAGCAAAAAAAGAACATTAAGGATGGCTGACTGCTGAAATGGGCCCTTTGAAAGTTTTTTCTAAACCTAGAAATGTTAGCGTTTGTTTTTTTATACATTATTTGTGAATTTGCTGCCCATAAAAGCAGCTTTGTCTCAGCAGGGGGTGTCATTTTTAGCTGGGGTAGTCTGTCCCACCATAAAAACAATCCCAGCACAGATTTTTCCAGCAGCCAAGAACAATAACTCCTGCTTAGAGTTTTATTAGAATGCCCAGGAGAATCCCAGTTCTAAATTCTAACTCTGCAACCTACTTTTGAAAACTTTATGTAAGTTACTAAACCACTCCAAGACTTAGTCTTCGTATCTGGAAAATAGTAGGCACACCATAAATAGACATTATCATTCCTGTTTCCTAGTGCTGATATTTCTACTATGACTTAAGAAAAAAGTTAAGCGATTCTAATCATTTTCAATTCACTTATAATATATATGCACAATAGCCCATCTTGAAATGTATCTGTTTTTATTGTATTTACTGCATAGAAGGCATAGTTTTCCCCCCAGTTTTATTGAGATATAATTGATGTATAACACTGTGGAAGTTTAAGGTGTACAATGTATTGATTTGATATATTTATATACTGAAAATGATTATACTATAAGTCTGATAACTGCAGTGAGTCCAAATCCATGCACTTTATGTACTGCTTTATTTTTTGTTTTTTAATTTTTATAATACTGTGTTGGTTTCTGCTGTACAACGATATGAATCAGCCATAACCTCCCTCCTGAGCATGCCCTACCCTATCCCATGGGGGCAGGAGCACCAAGGTGGACTCCCTGCACTATACAGCAACCTCTCATCAACGATTCACCCTACACAGGGTGGTACATATACGCTGATGCTACTTCAAAGTGTCCTTTACAGAGAAAATTCATTTGCGGAGTAAATAATAGTCAAATTCCTCTGTGCAAATCTACTGGGGAAAAATCTGGACCTTCAAAATAAATAAATACAGGATGACAAATTTATATGTGCATCCTTGCTTTAAAAGGAGCTACCTTGAAATCCTTTAAAATGAGAGTTTCTCAGAACAAAACTTTTGTCCAAATTTAGGTATACTTCCACAAAATCCAGAGTAAGAGAGAAAGGAAACAATGTTTCTAAAGAATATATGAAACCAGTTTTGTGTTCAGTTCAGTTCAGTTCAGTCGCTCAGTCGTGTCTGATTCTTTGCGACCCCATGAACTGCAGCACGCCAGGCCTCCCTGTCCATCACCAACTCCCGGAGTTCACTCAAACTCATGTCCATTGAGTTGGTGATGCCATCCAGCCATCTCATCCTCTGTTGTCCCCTTCTCCTCCTGCCTCCAATCCCTCCCAGCATCAGGGTCTTTTCCAATGAGTCAACTCTTCGCATGAGGTGGCCAAAGTATTGGAGTTTCAGCTTCAGCATCAGTCCTGTCAATGAACGCCCAGGACTGATCTCCTTTAGGATGGACTGGTTGGATCTCCTTGCAGTCCAAGGAACTCTCAAGAGTCTTCTCCAACACCACAGTTCAAAAGCATCAATTCTTTGGCGCTCAGCTTTCTTTACAGTCCAGCTCTCACATTCATACATGACCACTGGAAAAACCATAGTGTTGGCAAAGTAATGTCTCTGCTTTTTAATATGCTATCTAGGTTGGTCATAACTTTCGTTCCAAGGAGTAAGCGTCTTTTACTTTCATGGCTGCAATCACCATCTGCAGTGATTTTGGAGCCCAAAAAAATAAAGTCTGACATTGCTTCCACTGTTTCCCCATCTATTTGCCATGAAGTGATGGTTCCAGATGCCATGACTATAGTTTTCTGAATGTTGAGCTTTAAGCCAACTTTTTCACTCTCCTCTTTCACTTTCATCAAGAGGCTTTTTAGTTCCTCTTCACTTTCTGCCATAAGAGAGGTATCATCTGCACTTCTTAGGTTATTGATATTTCTCCCGGCAATCTTGATTCCAGTTTTGTGTTAGTACCAGGCAATGCTTTGCTCAAGTGTGATGACTGTGGTAGACCAATTTAAGGTGTTAGATGTCTGCAAAGGTGCCCGGACTATAAAGTGATTACGATGTGGGAAGTCAGGGAGGAGGCACTTGTTCTGAAAACACGTTGTGAAGAAGGCTAATGATTGCAGTTCACGAGAAAGCAGGCTGCCCACTGGAGCAGTGAGTCAAACAGCTAAAATACACAGTCCACTGTTGACACTAGGAGATGGCTAATTTCCTGAAACTGCGTTAATGACTTTTCAAATCCTGGCATTCAATCATCTGCACACACAAGTGACTCAAGGACTCCTGCAAGTCCACTTTATTTTGAAATGTGAACAAGAATTTCAAAATTACTTAATAAATTCTACTACTGCCAAAAAATGTAAAAGTGTATAAATATTCTAAGAATATTGGTAGAAGGAAAAATAAAGCACTGTGATATTTTCTTTCATAATTACAGTGCCATGGAAGGACTGATGCTAAAGCTGAATCTCCAATACTTTGGCCACCTGATGCGAAGACCCATCTGGAAAAGACCCAGATTTTCCCCCCTTTTATTCAATATTGAAACATTCCAGACTCACACCTTTCATAAATCTTCTTGAGTACAAAATACAAGCCCTACAGAAGCATTGAAAAATCAGTTTACCATTGTCCTGGAAGAAGGGAAGTGATGTCAAGTCAAACAGTGGAAGGGCTCCTTCTTCTGCTCAGAGAAAGAGGCCGTGACCCGGATGGGAGAGCGGCCGTGGACTCTGGGCCAGGCCACGTTGGGTTTGACACTGTTGTCCATTCTTACTGGCCTTGGGTCTTGGGCAACTTATTTTAACTTTCTGATTCTCAATTTCTTCCCTTGTGAAATGGAGATAATAACACAGACCTCGCAGAGTTTCCCAGTGTTTGATTTGAGATAGAATAGCATTTCTTTTACCATCATGAGGATAATTCCTGAAATGCCAACAAATAATCTTTGACTCACTAATTAAAGTTTCTGGAAGCTTTTCAAATTCAATTTTTGGCTGCCCTAGAGTTTTAGGATTCATATCTTGTTCTTTTTTGCTTTATTGAGGTATAATTTACATACCATAAAATTCATATTTTAAATATACAACTCCATACATTTTTTAGTACTTACAGACACAATTCATACAGAAATCTAACATTTGAATATTTCTACCACCTCAAAAAACACAAAAACAAAACAAAACCCTTCTGCCCATTTGTAGTCACTCTCCAAACCCACCACAAGACCCAGGGATCCACTTACTTGTCTAGTCCTTTCAAAACTGAAATATATACTTCCTCTTCTTCTGAGTAGTTTTAGTATTTAAATATGTCAATAAATTAGAGAAAAGAGAGGGAGAATTTATTAAAGTTTTATTTTAAAATGCACTAACACTGGACCAGAACCTGGTTATTGTTGGAACTTTTGAGCATCGTGGTGAGTCCTGGGCCTCTCACTTCCTACCATTCACTGGACATTGACCATCTGTCAGGTTCTGTAGTGAGAGGAACTGCTTATCTTTTCTGAGATTCTTTCTTCATCTGCAAAATAGGAATGAACCCTTCAGGGTTATTTTAGAGAATTACTAAGATGTCATAGTACAGCATAGAGTACATGCATAAGAATGGCACAAACAAAACCAGTGTGGTCCGTGAGAACTTTGTGCAATGATGGCTCTCCTCTGCGTGGGCAGTGCCCACTAACTACATGTGGTTATGGAACATCTGAAATCTGCCCAGCAAGACTGAAGAACGCATTTTTCATTTAATTTTTAAGGGTTAAAAATTTAATTTCACTTAATTTAAATGTAGTTACCTACATGTAAAACTCAACATTCAGAAAACTAAGATCATGGCGTCTGGTCCCATCACTTAATGGCAAATACATGGGGAAACGGTGGAAACAGTGACAGACTTTATTTTTTTGGGCTCCAAAATCACTGCAGATGGTGATTGCAGCCATGAAATTAAAAGACACTTGCTCCTTGGAAGAAAAGTTATGACCAACCTAGACAGCATATTAAAAAGCAGAGACATTACTTTGCCAACAAAGGTCCATCTAATCAAAGCTATGGTTTTTCCAGTAGTCATGTATGGATGTGAGAGTTGGACTATAAAGAAAGC